GAACCGATGAGATTTTGCAAATTTTATGCGTTTTTTTTAAAAAAAAAGTTATCAAGCTCTTAAAAAATCACCCGTTACATACCAGGGTTGTTGCGAATATTCGCATTCGCATTCGCAACCGCGGAGCTTCCGCATTAATTTTAACATTCGCATTCGCATTCGCAAAAATCAATGCGGATCTTTTGCGAATGCGAATATTGAAGGAACAGGAAATTACAGTTATTTTTCTACGAGTTAAACTTGGCCAAATATTTTTTATTCCCGACTAAAAGTCCTTTCCGGAAGGAAGAAAGGATTAAAAATGAATTACCAAAACTAAGATCGAAAAACGCTTTTGACGTTACAGGTTCTCCAAATTCAGAAACAACTAAAAGAATGAGAATGAAAAATTCTTTGCAAAACAACGGTGTTTAAGCAACGATCTTGCCATGATATTCGATTGTGAAGATGAAAGTCAGGAGGATACATCCGACATTTGCAGTCCGATGCAATTCTCAAAAAAGAATTATTGCATCCACAATAAAAAAAAAAAACAATAAATATAACTAAAAGTCTTCTCGACTCGTGCAGCGTCAATCGAAAAGAATTTACAAGTTTGTCAAGTTTCAAGTTTTTCGCCTCGAGCGAGCAGTTATTTAGTGGCCCTGATTTACGACCCTTTAAAAACTTTTTATTGGATACAATGTTCCAATTTTTAAGTTCAAGTACTAAAAAAACATTATTAAAAATTACTAACCTTTACATTTTTTATTTAATTAAATCACCTAATTTACTCACCTAAATTATTTCTTAACAAGTAAAAAAGTCTAAGTTGAGGCGGAGACGAACATGAGATAAACTTATATAGATATATGTGAGCGGCATCACGCCCATTTTCCAAAATTCAATAATAATGTTACTTCTTTTCAAGGGATTGTTTGGGTAAAATTTGCGTCCTTAAATTTCGAAATATCGAAGTTTCAAGCATTTCTTAAATTTACCGTTATGAAAAAGTGGGCGTAATTTTAGTCCGATTTCGATAACTTTCAACGTTTTGCCTTTATGTGGCAACCACAATAATCGTCCCGAGATGTGTGATCATAACTGGGCGGGGTCACGCCTATTTTCCAACATATTATTATAAGCGTATTTTTTGCTAAAGAAGTATTGCAAACATCAATCTTGAATAAATTAGCTCCAGTATTTACTGATTTACCGAAGCATTCGTATTTCTCTAAATTACCGTTATATGGGATGTGGGCATGGTTATTAACCGATTTTTTAAATTTTCAGCCGTTTGGTATGTTTTGTGAAGGCCAACAACTGTGTCAGTGTTTGGGAGAAATTGGCGGAACGGTTCCCAAGGTATACACATGTAATCATAAGTGGGCGTGGCTACGCCCATTTTCCCAAAATTTATAATAGATATTCTTATTTTTCGTCTAAAAATTATTGCAAATAACGGGTGATTTTTTAAGAGCTTGATAACTTTTTTTTTTAAAAAAA